TCCTCTCCCTGCTTGCTGGGGAACCTGGGCAGGTGATGGGTCTCTGACCTGTCCCCAGATCCCCAGTCCACCCAGCCCCTATTGCCCCTGCCAGCACCAGGCCCACATCCCCACATGTCCCAGCCCCATTCCTAGAAGGGCAACATGCCCCTCACCCCCAACCCAACCCAGGCCCTATTGTCCCTCCTGTGTTCTAGGGGTTTGGTATTGACAAAACCCTGTCCCAGACCATGGCCTGCCAGGCAGGAAGGACAGGGGTGAGAGGTTGCTATTCACAGAGGAGGCAAATGAGTCCTGGAGGCTGGCCCCTGGGGAAGAAGAGGAGCTGGGAGGGCTGGCAGGTGGGGTGAGGCAGGTACCGCCCTGTCAGCTGGCTCAGGTTCGCTCTGGATTACTTCCTGCCATCCAGGTGTAGGGACCCCAGCTGGCGGGCGGCGAGGCCCTCTCGGCGGGCGGGCAGGCGCACGTCCCTGCGGGAGCAGGTAACCGGAGCCTTGGGCTCAGGCAAAGGTGGCAGTAATCTTACCTGAGTGGCTGGCATGAGGTTTCCTGGGAGTTGAGAGGAGCTCCCTGCTGGCCCTGAAGCTCAGGTGTGGCTGTACCGGGAGACCGGGAGGCCTGGCTTTCCTCTGCCTGCCCCGTGGCCGGAGCTGCTCTCAGACCCATGCTGGCCCCATCCTCTCACCTCACTATTGCTGCTTCCTGGCCCTGCTGGTTCCTGTCCAGCAGCTAGAGTGACTGTCAAAGCCTGGTGGGTCCCAGTCCTCACTCAGACCCCAACAACAGACCTCACTCAGACCCCCGACAGACCTCACTCAGACCCCCAATAGACCTCACTCAGAACCCCAACAACAGTCCTCACTCAGACCCCCAACATTCCTTACTCAGACCCCCGACAGACCTCACTCAGGCCCCCGACAGTCCTCACTCAGAACCCCAACAACAGTCCTCACTCAGACCCCCAGCAGTCCTCACTCAGACCCCCAACAACAGACCTCACTCAGACCCCCAGCAGTCCTCACTCGGACCCCCAATAGACCTCACTCAGACGCCCAACAGTTCTTACTCAGACCCCCAGCAGTCCTCGCTCAGACCCCCAGCAGTCCTCACTCAGACCCCCAACAACAGACCTCACTCAGACCCCCAGCAGTCGTCACTTGGACCCCCAATGGACCTCACTCAGACGCCCAACAGTTCTCACTCAGACCCCCAGCAGTCCTCACTCAGACCCCCAGCAGTCCTCACTCAGACCCCCAATAGACCTCAGACCCCCAACAACAGTCCTCACTCAGACCCCCAACAGACCTCACTCAGACCCCCAACAGTCCTCACTCAGACCCCCAACAACAGTCCTTACTCAGACCCCCAACAGACCTCACTCAGACTCCCAACAACAGTCCTCACTCAGACCCCCAATGACAGACCTCACTCTAGACCCCCGACAGTCCTTACTCAGACCCTAAACAGACCTCAGACCCCCAACAACAGACCTCATTCAGACCCCCGACAGTCCACACTCAGGCCCCAACAACAGTCCTTTCTCAGACCCCCAATAGTCCTCACTCAGGCCCCCAACAACAGACCTTACTCAGACCCCCAACATTCCTCAGACCCCCGACAGACCTCACTCAAACCCCCGACAGTCCTCACTCAGACCCCCAAAGTCCTCACTCAGACCCCCGACAGTCATCCACTTCGCTTAGCCTCAGGAAGGAAGTCCGTGCTGGGGTCTGGATCTATGGTATGACCCCACTGTCCCCGTGGGCTCTGCGTTCTCAGCCCCTGGGCTTCCTTGTGGGCTCTGCGATGCAGCTCCTTCACTTCCTCATGCCCTGCAGCCTCAATCCCAACACCACCCCTTCAAAGCCTGGCCTGGCTTTTTTTTTTTTTTTTTTGAGACGGAGTTTCACCCTGGTTGCCTTGGAGTGCAATGGTGCGATCTCGGCTCGCTGCAACCTCTGCCTCCTGAGTTCAAGTGATTCTCCTGCCTCAGCCTCCCAAGTAGCTGGGATTACAGACTCCTGCTACCATGGCTGGCTAATTTTTGTATTTTTAGTAGAGATGGGGATTCACTATGTTGACCAGACTAGTCTCGAACTCCTGACCTCAGGTGATCTGCCTGCCTCGGCCTCTTAAAGGATTATAGGCGTGAGCCACCGTGACCCATTGGCCTGGCCTTATTAGAACAACAGCCTGGCCGGGTGTGGTGGCTCAAGTCTGTAATCCCAGCACTTTGGGAGGCCGAGACGGGCGGATCACGAGGTCAGGAGATCGAGACCATCCTGGCTAATACAGTGAAACCCCATCTCTACTAAAAATACAAAAAACTAGCTGGGCGAGGTGGTGGACGCCTGTAGTACCAGCTACTCGGGAGGCCGAGGCAGGAGAATGGCGTAAACCCGGGAGGCGGAGCTTGCAGTGAGCTGAGATCCGGCCACTGCACTCCAGCCTGGGCGACAGAGCGAGACTCTGTCTCAAAAAAAAAAAAAAAAAAAAGAATAACAGCCCCTGCCACCTGCTGCTTTCCCCGAGCCCCGCTGGCCATAGGTTGTCATCCTTGGTGGCAGAGGCATGCCTGCTGCACACTTAATGTGAATGAATGAAGGAAAGAAGGAACCAAATGCCCGATGCCTGGGAAGCGGCTGGTTGCTCCAGCTGTCACCAGGGGTGGGGAAGGGCTTGGCCAGGTGCAGCTGCAAGGATGGTGCTCCTGGCAGATGGGCGGATAGGCTGGGATGGGTGGGTGGGGATGGGCGGGAGCCTCAGGAGCCCCAAGGGTGCTGTGAGCTGGGAGGGTGTGGACAGAGCTCTGGGGGTTGGGGATGTGGATGGAGCCCTGGGGGGTGTGGATGGAGCTCTTCGTGGGGTGTGGCTGGAGCTGATGGGGGCGATTTGTGGACAAAGCTCTTGCAGGGTGTAGACAGAGCCCTGGTGGGGGTTGTAGACAGAGCGCTGGGGGTGGGGTGGACAGAGTCCGGTGGGGGTATGGATGGAGCTCTTGGCGGCGTGTGGATGGAACTCTTCGGGAGTGTACAGAGCCCTAGGGGTAGTGTGGACGGAGGTCTTTGTGGGGTGTGGACGGAGCTCTGGGGAGGTGTGGATGGAGCCTGTTGGGGGATGTGCATTGAGTTATTGGTGTGGACTGAGCTCTGGGGGGTGTGGACTGAGCTCAGCGGGGGTGTGGTGGAGCTCTGTGTGGAGGTGTGGATGGAGCCTTGGGAGGCATGTGGACAGAGCTCTGGGGATCGTCTGGTGCCTGTAGGCAGAGGTTTGCAGACCCTGATAGCCTCGGAGATGGGCGGGGACTGGGCCCCGTGGCCTGGCGGCACCATGGCAGATGTGGGAAAACAGGTTTAAAGGAGACTTAAGAGGTGGGATTGAGGGCCTGGTGACAGCTTGACGTGGCTAGGGAGGGTTCTAGGAGCGTGTTGGGGATGGCCCCCCACTTCCATCCTGTGCTCCCAGCTGGGTGAGGCTCCTCGGGCCATCCCTGGGTGTTCTGCAGGCAGGGGCTCAGGAAGGGAGGCCAGGGTTGCACAGCTGTGAGTGAGGCCCAGGTTGGCTGCTGTGTTGGGCCCTAGGTGTCCATATTTGAGGGACAGTTGGAGGTGTGGGGCGGGGGACTAGGTGGGGGTCCTGGAGGCTGGGCTGGGTGTGGCTGGCAGCAGGTTGGTTAGGGGAGGGCTTGACGTGGAGTGTACTCTTCTGAGACATCTTGGGAGGCCAGGCCTGTCCTTAGCTGGATGGGGCCGAGGCACCGGGGCAGGGGTGGGGTGGTGACCAGGGAGGGGCTGGCAGGCATGGGGTTGGGCCTTGCTGGGGAAGTATGGTTTTCCCCAGCATAACCAGGCTTTGGGGCTGGGTGGATAAGGGGCGCTGAGGGATGGACAAGCCTGGCCTGCCCGGACACTGCCCAGTGCAGCATCCCCTGGGGTGGGAAGCCAGCAGGCCTGGAGGTGGCTCAGCCCCAGCCCCCTCCTGTGGGCCCTACCCAGATGGAGCCAGGGCTGGGCTCAGGGGCCACGGGCACACCAGGGGTGGAGCTGTGGGATTCCTGGGCAGTGAGGGCTGAGAGGCTGTGGCATGTGGGTACCCAGTGCTGGGCAGTACAGGGCATGTCCTGGGGGTCGCACCTGTCTGAGCATGCCTGTGAGTGACAGTCTCCGTGGACTGCACTAGGTGGAGCAGGGGGCCAGCCCTGTGGCCTCTTTGCTTGGCTGACAGCATCGCCTGTCACCATGGCTGGGGTACAAGGGCCAGGTGGCCCGGGGGCAGAGGGGGAGTAGTGGCCATGGTCTGAAGCTGTGCTGGGCAGTCCCAGGACCTCTTGGCCTCAGTTTCCCCAACTGTACCACAGGGGCTTCTGCTGCCGCGTGTCCTGTGTGGGGGTGGAGGTGGGCGTGGGTTTGCCTGTGTGCTATGTACCTGCAGGACCTGAGCTCGGGCCTGTTAGGGACTCTGGCTGGGTGCCCTGTCCTTGGCCACCACATGCACCTGGTAGAGGCTGCCGGCGTGGCGATGGGGCCCCACATTCTCTCGCGTGGTCACCCCCAGTGAGGCGCCAAGCGGTGTTCCACCGGAAACGCTCAGGTCCCGGCTACCTGTGGGGCCCTAGTCTGTGGCCACTCCAGCCAGGCTGCCCCTTGCCCACCTCTCCCCCTGTCGCTCTTCCTGTGCTCCATGCTGACTTAAGCCAGCTCAGGGCAGGCTGGGCCTCTGGCACCCCAGCGGTAGGGAGCCCAGGCCCCTGAGCCCACATGTCCTGGAGGGGCAGTCTCCCTCCCTTGAGCTGGGTTATTTTGGGGTCTGCAGAGGATGTGGCCTGAGGATGAGGAGGGTGGTGGGTCCTGTGAGGACTCTAGGAGGGGGTCCCTGGCTGGGGAGGAAAGGCCAGAGCCTGGCAGACCCGGGGGCAGGTTGGAGCCCTGGGCCCTGTCCCACCCTGAATAAAGCAGGCAGGTATGGTCTCAGGCACCTGACCTGCCTCTCCATATCTGCAGCGCTCCTTCACCCTCATCGTGGAGGCCTGGGACTGGGACAACGATACCACCCCGAATGGTGAGTGAGCCCTGGGCCAGGTGGCAGCGCCTCTCAGCTTCAGGGCACCTGTGGCAGGGCCCATGTTCTCTGCCTGCTTGGGACAAAGCCTTTCTTTACTCTGAGGATCATGTGTGCTGTTTCCCTTTTTGCTCTGGCTGCCAGGAAGCTCTGCCACGTTTGGGATTTGCAGAGCTGTGCATGCACTCTCTTCCCCAGTCCTAGCTTTGCCTATGTTGTTCTCCTATTGGGTGTGCTCTTTTGGGGCCCATGTCAGTGACTTAGTGGAGGGAACACCGTTGAGTGTCTCTCTGGCTTTGTGGCCCCCTCTACCTGTCTGTACTGGAGCATGGAGCCTTGGGGGCCCTCTCCCTGAGGCCCACCTGCTAGCTGGCTGACCTGGGCAGGGGCTCTGCAGGGCCCCGCAGGGGTAATGGGGGGATGACTTCCGTGGGTGGATGCGGAAGTACCCGCAGGCCGAGGGAGCTGCTCATGTGAAGGCTCAGGCAGGAGCGCGCTTGCTGTGCAGGAGGGGCCGCCGGGGCCGGGCTCAGATCATGGGGGCTGGCACACCACTGAGAAGACACGGGCTCTGTCTGGCAAGCTCTGGCTGCCTTATGGAGGGTGGGCTGTGGGGCCAGGACGGAGACCGAGGAGGAGCTGCGCCATGAATCTGGGCGTGTCAGGGTGACCTGGACCAGGGGCAGTCTGAGGGAATGAGGGAGACTCTGGCTGCTCTCAGAAGTGGAGACATGGGGTTGGCCAATGGGTTGGAGGTGGTGAGAGAGCAGGGCCAGGGCATCCTGGCTGCCAACAGAGTGGAGGGGCTGTTTACAGGGCAGGGATGGCGGCAGGGGTGCCAGGTGGGGAGCAGCAGCTGTGGGGACCCCAGCGACTCAGGGCAGTGGTGTTCCCTGAGGGGGTGGCAGGGGGACAGTCGGGCTGAGGCCCAAGCAAGGTCGTCAGGGCTCTTGATGATGTGGGCCTGGAGAGGCTGGGGCGGCCGGGAGGCCCCTTGGGGAGTGGGCCAGCTCAGTGTCCTCCCAGGCCTTGGCCCGCGAGGCGGGAGAGCTGGGGTCTGGAGGACCTGTTCATCCTTTATTGTGGAAAACATCGAGCCTGTGCCGAAGCGCAGGGACCGGCATCACGGACTTTGCATTCCAGCACCAGCAGCTGCGGTGCCCCTGGCCCCTGGTCTCCCATTGTCTTACTTAAAGTGAGGCTTAGCCGGCGGGTCTCAGGACCTGTGCCTGTCTTGGGGGCCTGAGGGGAGGGTTGTTTTAAGGTGGGGACGGTAGCGGTGTTTGGCACTTCTGGGAGCAAGTCACAGCACAGGAGAGGGGAGGGCAACTGAGCACCATGCCTGTGCCGGTGAGGGCTGGACATGGTGCCCAGCTGTGTGCAGGTGTTGGAGCAGGGCTGTGGGTGGGTGGGCACAGGTGTGGGATACGGGACTCACCCCCTGGCAGCAGTCATGCCTTCTCTGTGGAGCCCGTGGTCTCGGCAGCCCTCCCTGCAGGACCCCCCGCCCCTGGCTGGGCCCCCCAGCCCTCTGCGTTTAGGGTGGGAGCAGGAGCGCAGGCTTGGTGGCGGGAGGGATAGGCCTCTCGGGGCCCTGAGCTTTCTGTAGCAGTCTGGCCAGGGGCCCTGCCCTCGGAGTGCTGCTGCCGCCTGCTGTGCCCCGGGCTTGCGGCGGCCGCAGACTTCTGCCCCGTCCCCGTTGTTCCTGGAGGCCACCTGGCTGGGCTGGTGTCTCTGGCCTGTGCTGACTGTGCCGCCTCCCCAAGAGGAGCTGCTGATCGAGCGGGTGTCGCATGCCGGCATGATCAACCCAGAGGACCGCTGGAAGAGCCTGCACTTCAGCGGCCACGTGGCGCACCTGGAGCTGCAGATCCGTGTGCGCTGTGACGAGAACTACTACAGCGCCACCTGCAACAAGTTCTGCCGGCCCCGCAACGACTTTTTTGGCCACTACACCTGCGACCAGTATGGCAACAAGGCCTGCATGGATGGCTGGATGGGAAAGGAGTGCAAGGAAGGTGAGGGGGCTGCCGGGCCACGTGGAGGGCAGGGAGGGCCTCAGGCAGGGCCCTGGGCACGCGCTTTGCCGCCAGGCTGGCTGCAGCGGTGCCTCTCGCTCCTCTCTGTTCACAGCTGTGTGTAAACAAGGGTGTAATTTGCTCCACGGGGGATGCACCGTGCCTGGGGAGTGCAGGTGAGTGTGCCACCAGCCCGCCTTTGCCCTCGAACCCTTTGCCCTCACATCCTCGCTGGCACACGCGGCCTTGCTCTCAGGAGTCACCCGGCGCTGGCTGGAGGTCGCGCGTGCAGCCTGTGAGAGCCGGGCCGTGTGCTCGGGACGCTCCTTAGTGCAGTAGGTGCGTGTCTGAGCGTGGGGTATGTCTGATGGCGGCAGCCTGTGAGGATGGTGAGGAGAGATTGGGGAGGCTGAATGGACAGTCATATCACCAAGCGGCAGAGACCTGGAGGCTGCAGGCCACCCGAAGATGGGGCACGGGCAGAGGACACAGTAACCCTGTCCATGTGGAGGGGGTAGGCAGCAAGCGGCCGACAAGTGAGACCAGCAGGCGAGGGGTGGCAGAGCAGACCGGTGGTGGGAGATGAGGCCTGCAGGACCAGGGAGAGAGGAAGGGGCTGCTGGCAGGTTTGTAGCTGGGCAAGGTGGGTGGGAAGGCTGTGGTAGCTGTTGAGTGGAGAAGCACCAGACGGGAGGCTGTGAGAGGCAGGCTGTGAGGAGGAGGCTGCTGTGGGGCATGTGGGGGTTCGGGGGGAGGGGCCAGCGGAAGGGGGAGAGGGGCACGGGTCCTGCAGGCATCCTGGGTTGGAGCCCAGGGGTTTGTGGATGGATTTAATCAAGGAGGAAGAGTCTGGGGTCAGGAAGAACCCCAAGCCGCTGCGTAGTGGAGCCATCGTGACTGAAGGAGGACTGCCGCAGAGGAGCAGGCAGGGCAGAGGTTAGGTGGATGTGGAGAGGCGATGCCCGCCCTGTCCCCGGAGATACCCAGAAAGCTCGCGGGAGAGGCCTGGCCTCAGCCCCGCGGGGTCTGTGGGGGGCCTGTGGCATTCAGGCAGTGTTGAAAGCCCAGACAGCAAAGGGGGAAAGCCGGAGAGGAGAGAGGCCAAGAAGCAAGTCCCAGCTGCCGCAGGTCAGGGCGGATGGGTGAGGAGCCAGCAAGGGCCTCCACGAGGGAGCGGCTGGGGCCCTGCAGCCAAGTCCAGACAGTGGAGGTCTCTGGACCCGGACCAGGGTGTGGGGGGATCCAGCCGGGGGACTGGCAGCTTTGCCCTAGAGTGGAGCAGAGAAGTCGCGGGGGGGAGCCAGAGGGGCTGGGGCCCAGGGTCTGGGGTGGGCGTGGGCTTCGAGCCGTGGTGCTTAGTGTGTGTGAGCAAGCTGGGGAGCCCGAGAGAGGGGCACAAGTGGGTGGAGAGACAGCAGGTGGAGGTGAGTACCACCCTCCAGCCAGCCTTGGATTTCAGGGCTCCCGGAACCTCCCTCTGAGGAGTGGGTTTGCCTCCATGGGACGAGGACCCTGGAGCACAGTGAGGCTGAGTGATTTCCCCAGGATCACACAGCATGGCGTTGCGGAGAGGAGTGGGGGTTTGGGAACCAGCTGAGTTGGGAGCCAAGGTGGGGAGGTGGGTGACCTTTCCACAGGCCCCACGGCTGAGTGGCCTGGAGGGCTGTGAGGAGCTTTCCTGGCTGGTCCCAGAGCAGGGAGGCAAGGAGGGCTGGGGTCGCCCACCTGGTCACTTGCACACGCAGGGATTCCCGGCAGGTTGAGTCTCAGAAAGTGCAACAGGGTGGGCCTGGTCTGGGCAGATGTAGATGTAGGCCCACAGGAGTCGGCCCTGCTCACCCTCGCCTGGCCCAGCGTGCATCACACAACCTGGATGGTAGTGCCACCCTCCCTGGATGGCTGCTGGCTGGCAGCCGCAATGTCCCACCAAGGCTGGAGGAAGGCGGTAGGGAAGCTGGCCATCCCTGCCCTTTCCCCGCAGGAAGATGAGGAGACGGAGTCCGGGGGGCCTGGTGGGTGGGGGCAGTAGGTGAGCCCCGCCTGCCCCTCTTGCTGGCCCCGTGGGGGAGGCCCAGCTGTTGCTGACAGCCTCGGCTCAGGTTCCAGTGCAGGACGCCCCCCCCACCGGATGCTGCGGAGATGGCCATGCCTTCCTGCCACCGCCTCTCCAGGGCCCTGGGGCTGCTGGCTGGGGAAACCAGGAGGTGGGGGCCTGGCGTGGGCCGCCCCGCCCAGGGTTGAGAGCACGCCCTTGGGACCCACGAGGTCTGGGCTCTGAGCCCGGCTGTGGCGCTCCCTGGCGGATGACCCAAGGTGTATCACAGCCCCACCCTGAGCCTGGGTCTCTATGTCCATGGAGGAGGAATTCCAGGGGTTGAGAGCACGCCCTTGGGACCCACGAGGTCTGGGCTCTGAGCCCGGCTGTGGCGCTCCCTGGCGGATGACCCAAGGTGTATCACAGCCCCACCCTGAGCCTGGGTCTCTATGTCCATGGAGGAGGAATTCCAGGCGGGACGCGAGGCCACCCGCATGGGCCACTGTGCATGCTGGGCTGGATACCATGCTGGGCTGGATGCTGGAGACACGTTCTCCCCAGCCTCAGTTTCCCCATTTGTGGCAGCTGAACTGGGCTGATAGGCCTTTGGTGCTGGCTGTGTGGCTTGAGGGCGGCTCAGGAAGGGCCGTGGTTCTTTCCTTTTACAAAAATAAAGTGTTGCGGGTGCCGGTGTGGAAGTGACGTGGCCTGGACGACATTCCCATCCTGCAGGACCAGAGAGTTCTAGGAAGGGCCCCCCGGGAGTCCCGGCAGGGCCTGGATGGCAGCCCGCTGGGCCTTGGGGTGTCGTCATTGCAGGCTCTCTCCCCTGACGGAGGCACCCTTGAGTCAGGCCAAGTTCTCCCTGGCCACCTGCCCTCTTCTGGAGGACTCCCAAGACGGGACGTTGGCCGATAGCCTGGAGCAGGGCGAGGCCTGGGGGTTGTGGCCGGGGGGCCACGAGGCCTCTCGTTTCCAGGGTGCAGGTGGAGCTCCTGCAGGGTCAGGAACTGCCCTGAGCAGGGCCAGCCCAGGCTAGCCTGTGGGCCTCAGTAGCCCCATCTATGAGATGGGTACCTTGTGGGACTTGACTGGGAGCGAGCGAAATGACTATCTTTGAGGTGGGGGTGAGGGTATGTGCTGTGCCCAGGGCCACATGGCTGAGGCAGGGCCAGGAGTGCTCCCCTGCTGCCCACCGGCCTGCCCAGCCCCTGGTGCTACCCAGCCCTTGCAGCACGTGGTGAGTCCGAGCCAGCGTTCTCATCCCCGGGGTCCCGGCAGGGCCTTCCTTTCCTGGCGCCTGCTCTCGGGGCCCAGCTCACGAGTGAGTCCCAAAATAGCTCAGGGAGGAGTGACGGGACAGCTGGGACTGACCGCCGGCAGCCAGCGGCCGGGAATGCCCGTGACAGTGGGGCTGGCCTGCGGGGCCGCAACCCCTGCCCGGCTCGGGCTGCTCCAGTTCAAAGGCCTGAGGCGCCGGTCCTGGGTGTGGCTTGGGTGACTGTGCCTGGCTCCTCTGCCACCCTTTCAGGTGCCACAGCTCACTGGGTCTTGCGCCCCTCCGCCTTCCCCCAGGTGCAGCTACGGCTGGCAAGGGAGGTTCTGCGATGAGTGTGTCCCATACCCCGGCTGCGTGCACGGCAGCTGCGTGGAGCCCTGGCAGTGCAACTGTGAGACCAACTGGGGCGGCCTGCTCTGCGACAAAGGTAGTGGTGGGGGGTGGTGGGCCTGATGCTCTACCATCGAAGGGTGGGTTGTCGGGGAGCGGGGGGCCTGCTTTTCCCCTGAGCATCCCACCCCTGCCCCCAGACCTGAACTACTGTGGCAGCCACCACCCGTGCACCAACGGAGGCACGTGCATCAACGCTGAGCCCGACCAGTACCGCTGCACCTGCCCCGATGGCTACTCGGGCAGGAACTGTGAGAGGGGTACGTGGGGGGCCTGCTGCCCAAGTTCTGGCCAGGCAGGGACTGGTTCCCTTGGGAGCTGGTCAGGCCCCATCCCTCTGGCCTCTTGTGTGGTGGGCCCCTGACCCCCAGCTTCGGAACCTGTGGGCTTGGGGAGGCGTGCCTGTGGCAAGCTGGGGGCCTCGCTGCCAGCTCTGCCTCTCCCTGTGGTTCTGCAGCTGAGCATGCCTGCACCTCCAACCCATGTGCCAACGGGGGCTCTTGCCATGAGGTGCCATCCGGCTTCGAATGCCACTGCCCGTCGGGCTGGAGCGGGCCCACCTGTGCCCTTGGTGAGTGTCTGCACATGAGTGGGGGACTCCCGCCTGGCATCAGTAGGGGTCTGGGAGTGGGGCAACTCGCCGGGGATGGGGTGCAGTGGTCAAGTCCACACGTGTGGTTGTGGCTGGCTTGGCGAGGACAAGTGGCGGGAAGACCCAGGCTTGCGGCCCCACCTGCCCATGGGGACCTTATCCCCACGGCTCACACTGCCAGGGCCCCACCTTTCTCCGTTCTCTGCAGACATCGATGAGTGTGCCTCGAACCCATGTGCGGCCGGTGGCACCTGTGTGGACCAGGTGGACGGCTTCGAGTGCATCTGCCCCGAGCAGTGGGTGGGGGCTACCTGCCAGCTGGGTAAGGGTTCCGAGTGTGTGCACAGGAACATGGGCCACGCATGCGGGCTGCTGGGGCTGCTGCTGGAGCTGCTGGGCTGCGGGCGCCAGGTGCCGGTGCTGCAGGGCAGGCAGGGCCCGAGCCCCACGGCTCCCCCTTGTCTCTTTCACAGACGCCAATGAGTGTGAAGGGAAGCCGTGCCTTAACGCTTTTTCTTGCAAAAACCTGATTGGCGGCTATTACTGTGATTGCATCCCGGGCTGGAAGGGCATCAACTGCCACATCAGTCAGTATGGCGGGTGGGCGCCGGCGGGTGGGCCGAGGCACATGGGACCCCGCCTCTGACCCTGCTCCTCTGCCCCCAGACGTCAACGACTGTCGCGGGCAGTGTCAGCACGGGGGCACCTGCAAGGTGAGGCGGGGCCGGGAGGGGGTGTGGCGTGGGTGCTGCGGGGCCGTCGGGGCACCTGCGGGAGGCTCACCTGGCTGGCCCGCCCAGGACCTGGTGAATGGGTACCAGTGCATGTGCCCACGGGGCTTCGGAGGCCGGCACTGCGAGCTGGAACGAGACGAGTGTGCCAGCAGCCCCTGCCACAGCGGCGGCCTCTGCGAGGACCTGGCCGACGGCTTCCGCTGCCACTGCCCTCAGGGCTTCTCCGGGCCTCTATGTGAGGTGAGGTCTGCCAGGCCACCCTGCCCCACCTGCTGCTCTAGGAGCTGTAAGGCAGGCCTCGTCCCCGACCATGGGGCCTGAGTGACCCGGGAGTGCCGCAGGGGGAGTTGTCCCCACGGCGTCCCAGGCTTAGCCCTCCCCTGGGTGCTGGGTGGGCAAGCGGGGCTGTCACAGGTCACCAGGCTTGGCCCCTTGTGGCCCTCGCTTGTGATGGGTCTCCTGGTGGCCTGGGCTAGGAACCCCCGGGCTGCTGCCTGCCCAGGCCCATCTGTCCAACTGTGCACTCCCTCGGGACTGGAGGGCAAGGGGCTCTGGCGGGCAGAGTATGTGGAGTAGGGTGGGTGCCTGATGGACGGGCATACACCTGTCATGGGTGAGTCCTGGGTTGGAGTGGGCGTCTCTCTCGGGACTGATGCTCTCGCCTCCCTCTGACCATCTTTTGGTGCTGGACCCCCTCCCCCAACCTCCCCTTTCCCCGTGCCTCTAAAATAACCTGCCTCCCTACCACCTCTTCCCCACCTCCCCCACCCCTGCCTCCCTGTTACCTGCCTCCCTACCACCCCTTCCCTACCTCTCCCACTCCTGCCTCCCCGTTACCTGCCTCCCTAGCACCCCTTCCCCACCTCCCCCAACCCTGCCTCCCCGTTACCTGCCTCCCTACCACCCCTTCCCCACCTCCCCCACCCCTGCCTCCCCGTTACCTGCCTCCCTACCGCGATCCCCGCCACAGCCCGCGCGCCGGCTGCTAACGACCTGGTCAACGACTTCTACTGGCGGTCGCGACGACGGCTGGAAGGCAAAGAACAAGACCTGCCTGCCCCTGCGCCTGCCACTCAGCTCGACCTTGCCACTCACGAGTGCCCGCAGCCTCCGCCGCGGACCCTGGCCCTGGCGTCTGGGGCCCGCGCCTGCTTGAGCGGCCATGTGCCCCACAGGCGAGTGCCAGGGCGGACACGGTATACACCGCAGCAACGGCGACCCGGCTACGACAGCGGGGACACCTCCGTGCGCCTGCCCTGCCCCCGCTGGAAGGGCAGCACCCTGCACCGCTTGGTGAGGAGCCGCCGGACGCCCCTGTGAGCCGCTGGGCCATGGCCCGCCTCTGCCGGCCGCTCCTGGCGTGATGGGCGGGAGGGGTCTTTTGAGGGCCACACCTGCCCTCGCCCCTGAGGTCTGTCGCCCCTGTCTGGGTTGGGTGCGTGTATGAGATCCCAGGGGCCTGCGCAGGGCCAGGGTGAGAAAGCCCCTCCGTCCTCCTCTCCTTGCAAGCCAAGAACAGCAGCTGGCGCTGCGCCCAACCCGCTGTGTGAACGGGGCACCGGCGGGGCAGCGGCGCCGCCGGCGCCTGAGAGCGGCGGACGGCGGGGAGGGCGCCACTTGCACGCACAGTGAGCACGGGGAGGGACAGGCCACAGACGACAGCCCTGCCCCGGACCGCTCCCCCCAGCCCCTTGCCAGCCCCCCGCCCTCTGCGCCCGCTGGCCCCCAGGCAAAAGGCACTGCCTCCTTGAGGCCCTCCCCAGGCCCAACAGCTCCGGATCACGCCGAGCCAGGCCTGGACCGGCCTCGCGACGCGGTGGGGGTACCTGATCCCCTGCCTTCTCCTTCTTCTCCCAAACTCATGATTACGCAACGACGTGCAACCCTCTGCCTTGGGAGGGCCACCCGGGGCCGCAGCAGGGTGGGTGGACTTGGCATATCGCGGGTGCCGCCTGGATGGCTGCCCTCTTGCTCTGCAGCTACAACGGTGCATCTGGTTGACGCGTTTAACTGGGTTTGTTCCGCTGCGAGTGTGGCGGCTGCTTCGCGGGGGACCTGGACTGGGCGCAGCAGTGGAGTGTGGCCTGGGAATTTGACAGACAGCCCCAGGCCCGGGAGCCGCCTGCCAGCCCGAAGCCGAT